CCGTGCGTCTTTGTTTTAAACATTAGCAAAAGTTTCACGCCATGTTTTTTTTTTTTTTTTTTTTTTTTTTTTTTTTTTTTTTTTTTTTTTTTTTTTTTTTTTTTTTTTGTTTTTTTTCAAAATGTGGTTCTCGCCTGAGCGCCGTGCACATTTGTTTCACACAGTTGCAAGAGTTTCACATGTTGAAAGCGGTTCCTTTCCAAAATGTGGCTGCCGCCTTAGCACCGCGCACATTCGTCGTAAACATTGGAAGAGCTTCACGGATTCCCACGGTCAGCGTACCAGAAATTGTGTTTTGGAAAGGTTCAGGATTTTGCGGGTGCGACAGTTATGTTGGCTCAGGGTGTTGAAGTCCCCCAAACTTGCGTTCTGGCATGATTCCGGATCGTCAAGACGCAAAAGCAGGTTGATCCGTGGCGTTGAAATCCCGAGAACAATGCTCTGGCATGCTTGAGGATATTCAAGCGATTGTCTTCCAACGAGGCAATCCCCTCAATGGAAATGAACCGTTGTAGGGGCCTATGAAGAGGGAGCTTGGAGGGAGTCTACTCCAACATCGTTGATGACTCTTGGATTTGCACTTGTCCTCTTCCTCCTCCTCTCCTCCTCCTCCTCCTCCTCCTCCTCCTCCTCCTCACCCTCATCCTCCTCCCCCGTCCTCATCCTCCTCTCCCGTTTTCCCCATCCTCCGCGATCATGCCCCTTCTCGTCCTCGCCGCCGACCGTCTCCATCCCTGTGTCTTACAATTAGCCCCTCCCTGTCGCGCCCCCAGACGTGTGGGTAGGGCGGGCTGGGCGTTTCGCCTGGGAGATGCGCACCAGCTCTGATTCTGAAGCTTGGCATTTGAAAAGATTTCAAGGGCGGGGGTGTCGTTTTCAACATGTAGTTCTCGCTTTCGCGCCGCGCACACTCTGTATTAAGAGGTCGCAGCGGCTTCAAAGATGGAGGGGGCGATCGCACAAAATGGAGCTCTCGCCTCAACGTCGCGCAAATTTCTCCTACAAGTCTTCGGCAACTTCGTGGATAGACCGGGGACCGTGTTCAAAACGAATATCTCGCATTAGCGCCGCGCACATTCGTATGGAAAGGTTGCACCACCTTCACGGATTGAGAGGGCTCGTTTTCCAAATGTAGTTTCTCATTCGCGCCGCGCCCACTCGTCACATTGTAATCGTTTTTGTGATGGAGGGCGGCTCCGTTTTCAAAATTTGGATTTCGCTGGTACTTCTTCGACGGACTATTGGGACCGTTGAAATGACAATGCCCTTCTTATTCCAGGTCTTTGCCTTTGACATTGGTGAAAACCAGGAGCTTGTGCAGACGAATAGCTGTTCGGGCAACGGGCGGTACCTTTTGAAAACTGGGCGTTCGCTTGATATGTCTTTACGTACTAGCACGGACAATTTGAACGCATGGCGCAGCTACATGGATTGTGGGCGGCTCCTTTTCAAAGTAGGTCCTCACTTGAGGCCTCATAGACGATCCTGGCCAGAAGTGTGTGATGACCTATGCAAAAGTTGCATAAAAGGGAGCGGTCACGTTTCCAAGTGGGGAGCTCGCTCGACCCCCCGCGATGAATCGTATGCTCATGTCTTCGCGCGTCCCCTTCCACCCTGTCCGAAGCAAGGCCGTCGCCCGATTGTCGGGCCCAGGGGCGCCGGTCTTTCCAAGGGGTGCTTCTGGCGCGAAGCGAGGGCTTGTCGGCACCTATGGAGGGTGGCCTGGAACAAGATGTTGTGCTGCAGCATCGTTTGTTGGCGGCGCGCAGAAGGGGGTGGAGGGAGGGGGGAAGGCTTCTTAGAAGGAGGCTGCTTCTTAGAAGGCGGCGGCCTTACATCTATACATAAGGACCGCGCCTTCTAAGAAGCAGGGGTGCTTCTAAGAAGCCTTCCCCCCTCCCCCTAACCCCCTCTGCGCGTGGCCGAGTTTGTGCATCTTGGGTTCCCACTGTTCCTCCTTGGCGAGTCAGCGATGCGGACAGTCTCGTCGGACGAGCGCCCGCAGCCCTCGAGCCCCATCCCCCTCCGGCGGCCTGCGGACGGAGGGCGAAGGAACAAGGGCGGGGAACGAGAGAGAAAAGCAAGAAGGAGGACGGCTACCTTGAAGGGGCCCCAGGACACACAAATAAATACACACAACAAACAAATACTCCCTATATTTTCCCATATTCTCTGGGTTTCTGCCTTCCCCCTCACTTCCCATATTTTCCCATATTTTCTGAGGAATCGAGGATTATTTGTGTCTGTGTGTTTTTTCCTCTCCTGATACCTGTGACCACGGAGGAAGGGGAAAGAGGAGGAAGCTGAGCTCTTGCGCTGTGCGGGCTCGGAGCTGGCGGCGCGAGCAGCAGGAGTGGGCCGTGTGTGTGGGGGGGGATGATGGGGGGGAGCGGACACTGAGCGCGAGGTGATCACGGTGGGGCGCCTCGGGCGTGCGGCCGCGGGGAGGTTGTGTGTGAGCGCAGGAGGTGGGAACAGCCGGGCAGGTGGGGAGGAGAGG